AGAGCTGATTTCTAAGAGCAGTGAGGAATGCTGACCTGTCCTGCTCCCCACCAGCCGAGACAAATGAAGGACTTTCCTGAACACCTGTTTGCCGCGAACTCTACAGGGAAGTGCGTTAAGGATGGTCCTACTGCACTGAGCTGGAACTACTTTCACAGAGACTGCTGTGACAGTCGCAGTGCTGAAATGTGTTAAAATCCAAAATACATACAAAAAATGTGAACAGATGATGTAAAGCAAGACCGACAGATGGACTCAGGAGTGACGTTACAAAACCGTTACAAACCTCCTTCACACCGGTCAGTGAAACACACTGAACAGAATTCAGCCACATTTCTAGACTAGTCCGCACCCTGACAGCCAGACCCTTTTATCTTACGGTCATTACTGAGTGACCAACCACAGGACATGTTCCATACATGCTCACGTGCTCTGAACTGAGTACATGAATATACATTACAGAAGAAACGCTGTAAAAATGCGGAACGCGTTTAAAGTAGCGTATATGGTGAACGCGTGTGGGTTGTAATTATATATTGTATATGCAGATAAAACATAACTATACAGTAAATTAGGGACAGCGAGACGGCAGTTCCAGAGAATCTGTTGTAGCACTGAAGTACTGAGCGTTCATCCACCTGTTGTTGCGGCTTCACCACCAATCATCTTCATCATCATCATCATCATGCTCTCTCTGCTCCCTCAGCTTTACTTCAAACAGATAAAGACGCACTTTGTTTTGTTTTGCGCGTTTTTCTGCAGGTGTTTGTGAACGCAGTTTATTTGTTTATTTATTTATTTGTCCTTTCGTTCGTCTCTCTTTTTATGCATTTTCATTCATTTAAGCACTTTTATTATATTCTTTTTTTTCTGAAAAAAATGCGCAAATTTGTATTTTTATTTGCCTTTTTTAATTTATATTTGGTTCAAATATTTAAACTTAAAATTCTAATTTTGTTTTCTTTCATTTTATTATTTTTGTTATTTATGCAATTTTTAATGTATAAAGTAAAATCGTAATTTTAGTCCTATTTTAAATTTGCATGCCGTTTTAAAATTTGAAATTAAAATTTTAAATTTAGAACGCACAAATTCCGTTTAACATGTATTTTGCCCCTTTGTTTGTTTATTTCTTTTTTCAGCGTGGTGAGAGTCCAGCTGTTCTGTACGGTCCGTATCAGATGACCCGGGTTTAGCCTCGTGTCAGAGGCAGCAGTAAATCAGGCTCTGATCCTGCAGGTCAGGAACGCTTTGAGGCTGATAAACGCCGTTCACTTCAAACGCGGGCGCGAGCGCGTGCGCCGCTCCTTCCTCGGCCGTTTCGCTCTTTCTAACCTGCAGTGGAATTCCACCCTCAGCCTCGCGGCTGTGAGAAGCGCTGCTGCTCCGCGAGCCCACCGAGCTGACATTCCTGCGCCGCAGCGCGAGCGCCTCTAGTTTAACACAACACGGACACGGTCATGTGGAGAGGGTGAATCGATTCCCCCCTCACTGCCCCTCAGGTCACACCTGATGGCTCTCGAGCAGCAGACGTCAAAGCGCTTAACTGGACGGAGCTCAGCCTCTGTGCGCGCTTATGGGTAAAGGCTGAAGAACCAGGAGGACCTGGTGGACTTTAGTCTGGGCAGGAATGTAGAGGAAAACTAGAGCGCCATCGTAGCGTTAACCCTTTCAAAAATGCTTACTAAAATGCTAATAAATGTATAGAATAATAATAATAATAATAGTAATAATAATAATAATAATAATAATAATAATAATAATAATAATAATAATCAGGTCCATTATGTACATTGTTTCAAAATTGAACGTACACTCTTAAAAAAGATGGTTCTTCAAGGGTTCTTCAGCAAAGACAATGGTTCTATATAGAACAATGAACACTCAAAGAACCATTTGCATCATTACAGGGTTCTTTGCATCGCAAAAATGGAGAATGTGTTGTAGATGGTTCTATATAGAATCTTCCTGAAAAGGGTTCTATATAGCACCAAAAATGGTTCTTCTATTGTTATGATGTCAAGCTTGTTACAATAGAAGAACCTTTTTTGGTGCTATATAGAACCCAATTCAAAAGGTTCTAAATAGAACCATCTAGAACACATTATTCATCAATGTGAAGAACGCTTTAATGATGCAAAGGGTTCTTTGAATGTTCATGGTTCTATATAGAACCATTGTCTTTACTAAAGAATCCTTAAAGAACCATCTTTTTAAGAGTGTACATTCAATTTTGAAAAATGATGGACCTGTTTATCACTATTATTATTATTATTATTATTATTATTATTTATTAGCATTACCATTTCCATTTGGTTCTTTGCGTGGTCAAATGGTTCTTCAGATTGATGGAGGGTGTGTTGTATATGGTTCTACTTAGAACCTTTTTGAAAATGGTCTATGTAGTACCAAAAAAGGTTCTGCTATTGTTACAAGCTTGACATCTTAAGCAATAGCAGAACCTTTTTTGGTGCCACATAGAACCATATACAACATCAGTCTGAAGAACCATTTCACCACGCATTTTGAGTGTTCATGGCTCTATACAGAACCACTGTCTTTACTAAAGAACCCTTGAAGAGTCATCTAAAGCGCAGGCTGCTTTAGTTTAGTTAAACTAGAGATGTAAAACAAACTGGACTAGTGGACAAATTTGGGCACGTGCAGCCTTTCCTCTTGGACACATGCGCCCTTTATAACATTCAGAACTGCTACTGCATTATAATCCACTGAAACTGAACACAGTCAAACAGTATCCAAGTTAAAGACTCGCTCAAAAAACTGCACCGTCTCGCCTTTTTCGTCTCTCAGAAAGAGCAAACAGCGCTGCGCAGATATTTACCGCGTCCTATTGAGCTCCTCTACAGTCTCCTCGGCGAAGGCCCCGGTGAAAAAGCACATTCCTGCGCTCAGTCCCCATCAGCTGCCCCCAGAAACCCGGAGAGGAGGGGAGAGGAGGGGGGAGAGCTCGCGCCGCAGCCCGCTTTCCTCGATCCAGACGAGACTCTTCCTTCCAAACCTCTTTCTCTCAAAAAACAACAAAATAGCGCGTCTTTTCTTCTGAAACAGACTTAAAAAGCGCATTTTCCCCTCAGCGCAGCCTCTCGCTCGCTTTCTGCGCTCTCGCGAAGGCGGACCCCGCAACCAGCTGCAGCTCCACATCTGCTCGCTGCACGTGACGTTAAAGAAAAATACGAACAACATCTGGGAAAAATAAGTTTGATTCAGGTGCCTCGCTTCCCTTTTGGCCCTCTCCAGGTCCCTCAAGCCGCTGAACTAGTTTCACATTGGCGCGCGGGAGCACAGAGAAGGCTCGGTGCAGACACAGGCCTCTCCTGCCTTTTTAAGCTGAACTTCAGAGGCCTAAATCACTCCTTCCCGGGGCTGCTGAGGCCAGGCTGAGGACATCTCATGCGAAGGAGTTATTTGTGTTTGGGGGGCTTTTAGTTTTGCAATCCGCCAAACATATAGTTATAGTTGGCAGATTGGCCTGCAGTTATTATCTCACAAGTGGGCATCCAAATGAGCATTGATCTCTGATCACTGGCGAGGTTTAAAATAGCTTAGCCGAGTGATGGTAATAAACGTATTATGATACAATAATAACATAGCCTATATACTGTATGATACAAGTCTTCTATACAGTCTTCACGGTTATGTATATGTTGTCACTGAAAGAACCATTTGAATGTATAGGTTCTTTGCATGGTTGAGCGTGACTGAGAACCTGTTGTATAAGATTCTTTAAAGAACCTTTTGAATGGTTCTATATGGCACCTAGAACATTTTTGATACTAAATTTTGATATTAATCTAATGTAATCTAATGAAATATAACAATAATGGTCATATACATAACAACACACACACACACACACACACATATATGGTGATACTGGTCTTATATATGCTAATAGCCTCTTAAATGATAATGGTTCAATATATAATCACAGTACATTACATGCATTTATATATAATCACAGTTTTATATATACTATGGTCTCTTACATAACAATGGTATATATATATATATATATATATATATATATATATATATATATATATATAGTGATACTGGTCTTATATATGCTAATAGCCTCCTAAATGAATGGTTTCATATATAATCACAGTAATAGATGATCATGGTGTTCTTTGCTCTCTTTCTCAGGCTGGATTATTTCTATAGGCCCAGTTGTGGCAGTAAAACGGTGCCTGTTGCCTCCTCACCCCCTCCACCCCTCCGTGACCTAGCGCGCTCACCCTCCGTTTTACTGCCATCTGGGAATTCCATACGTGCTTTTGAACCCATTTCCACACCTTCTTCAAATGGCGCTATGCTGGTTCTTCACATCATCCCCAAAATGCTTTTTCCAGACTCACTTTCAACCTGCCACACCAGCGAGATGATTTTGTGTGTGTGTGTGTGCTGAACTGTATCATATTACAAACAGTCCTGATAATAATCCCTTGATCAGCTGGTGATTCTTTATGCCAGTCTATGACTATGATGTCACGCTTACAATACGTGTACATTATATACTCGACTTGGCTTGTCTGAAATCTATTGTTTACAATCGTACTTTCAACTGTGGTCAATTGCAATGGTAAAAGTAACTTCAAAGCAAAAAAAAAAAAAATCGGTCGCTAAATCAAGTCTTTGAGACAAGACCACGTGCAAATATATAAAAAAAAATATATATAATTATTATTCTCTATGGTCATGTGCTGATATATGCATCGTTTTAGTAGCTAGAATATCTGAGCACAGAGTGTAAAGCCGTTTAAAAAGGCAGTCATTTGAAAGGCTTTGCAACAGGCTTTGTAAACGACTGCCTGTTTAAAGAGCTTTGTGTTTAGAGTTGTGCATTTGTTGGACATCCCCTGGCCCTTAACTACACTGTGGTACACCAGCTATTCTAATATAGTTTATTAGAGAAAAAAAAAGTAGGTACAAGAAACTGGCCGCTGAACTGCCCTCAATTGCAAAACCAGACCGCGCCATACTTTATATTCAAACCAGTTTTATTGCAGAAAAAAAATATAAACGCATATTTACAACATGAAACACAGAAATGGCATGAAGACACCAGATCCAATCCTGCTTTATGACAAGTATCAATAAATAAATAAACATTTCAAGGACCAGAGGGGAAACAAATAAAAGGAAAAAGTCTACACAGATATGAGCCGAGTGTCGTTCTCCCATGAAATAAATTCCACGAGCGTGTCCTGCTGCTTGCAGTCTGTTTTTTCTGTCCAGGGATTTGGACAACATGGTCCGTCCGTCAGCAGACAGCACACAGCTCGTACACTGGCCGTCAGAGACTCGCAGCCTGGGCCAGATGTGTACAGATGTGTGCGCAAGTTCCTCGTGCACTGTCGTCTCCTGACCGTCCCGAGTGCTCGCCACGCTCCACCCCGGTGAGATAGCCTCCAAACACAGAAATCTCCCCATTTTTGCTTTTTATAATCCAAGTGTGCTCCGTCTGCGCGCTGCGCTTTGGCTCCTCCATTCTGCGCTCGTGCTGCTCCTCAAAGCTGGATATCTGCACAAAGAGAGAAGGCAGGGCTATTAAAATTCAAATAATATCAATGCTACATTTACATTGTCCTATGTTGCCTATTTGATGGCTGCTTGAACGCTAATGCATTGTTTATGCGATACAATAGTTTAGCAAATGACTACCATTTGTATAAAAATGCAACCAACTGCAGCCCTATAGTCCGTATACATTTACCATCTGTATGATAGACTTCAAACCAATGCATTGGCCCATATAATCTATACAACAATCTTTGCAAATGACTACCTTTCACAAAAAAATAAATGCATGAATTAAGAATATTATGAAACTATAAAAAACATTAATGCTTGCAGAATTGTTGCAACCCTTGGCTTATTTGAACAGTTCATACAGTCAGCTATCCTCACCTGCAAGTTTTACAAATGACTACCTTTCCCCCCTTTTTGTCCAAAAGACCTACAACTCTGGCTGTAACTCCTGCCAGCCCTATTTGTCCTAGTATCACCAATGATACAGTTCTTAAAATATGCATTAGGCTCTATAGCAGGCTTTGCAAATGACTGCCTTTTTTTAAAAAAGGGATAACTTCAAATGTTATGAATTACAAAAGCTTGTGGGCACAGTTGCAACACTGTGTGACCAATTCTTAGTATCAACTATCCTCAATGGTATGATACATGATAGCTTGTTTTACATATGTATATATGCATTAGGCTCTACAGCAGGCTTTGCAAATGACTACCTTTTTTTGAAAAAAGGGAAAAACTTCAAAGGTTATGAAACTCAAAAAAAAAGCTTGTGGACACACAGTTGCAACACAGTGTGACCAATTCTTAGTATGAACTCTCCTCAATGATACATGAGAGCTTGTTTACATATAGATTGTACTCTGCAAAAACTTTGCAAATGACTTCCTTTCTTTCAAACAACTCACAAGCTAAAAGGGTACATATTACAAACCTGTAAAGGCTGCTTGTTAGCTCTAACTAATCCATAGCATCATGTATCCTTCTTTGAAGATGTACATTGGATTATATAACAGGCTGAGCAAATGACCACCATTTTCCAAAAAGACTCCACAAACTACAAGAATAAACTAGAGACTGGTGCAGTCTAACCAATCTACAGCACATCAGCTGTTCTTCCACAAATGTATTCATTGATTAGGTTACATAACAGGTTGTGCAAATGACTACCATTTTCCAAAAAGACGCAGCAAACTACAAAAACTGCTTGTATCTCTATGTGAACAGATGTGAAGAAAGATGTGAAGATGAAAAGTTAAGGTATGCGTACCATGTTCTTCCCTTGAACCCCCCCTCCCTCCCTCCCCCGACTTGGGTCCACGCGGGCGCCGCTAGTGCGATGTTGACATGGACCACGCGCCCTCCATGCGCCACACGGAGAAGGCGTAGCTGAGGCGCTCGTGCGCCACGTAGCTGCAGCTGGCCACCTTGGAGTCGAGCTCGTCGCTCTGCAGCACCTGGCAGAGGAAGGTGATGTAGCGCGCGGCGAGCTTGAGCGTCTGGATCTTGCTCAGCTTGTCCGAGGGCAGCGTGGGGATGATCTTGCGCAGCGAGGCGAACGCCTCGTTCAGCGACTGCGTGCGCTGCCGCTCGCGCACGTTGGCCATCACGCGCTGCGTCTGCAGCTCCTCGAAGGACTGCGGGCTGCTGCCGCCTCCGCTCGCGCTGCCTCCGCTCCGTTTGCCCCGCTTGCCCGGCGCAGCCGGACTGCCGCCGCTTCTCGCGCTCGCGCGCCTCTTCCGCGCGCCCCCGCGCTTCGGTTGCCTCACGTCAGCCTCCTCCTCGCTGTTGCCAAGGCTGTCGACGGGCGATGCTGGAGAACTCGACTCCTCGCGCGCTGTCGTCTCTTCGTCGAACATCGCTGGCTGGGCGAACAGGGTGGGGGGGGGTGGAGCGGCTAGGCGGTCCGGGTGTCCCCTTGGTGGAGAAGCTTTCTGAGGGTCTCGCGCAGGGCTCGCGCTGTGGCCCCGTGCGCCACGGTGGGGTTTTTTTTCTTGGTCGGATCAGGACGAACTTTTGGAGCTCTTATAGGGTGGAAGGGGCAAAATGTGAGGGGAGGATCGCGATTGGACGAAGGAGGGTGTGACGTAGCAGCGAGGAGTGGGAGGGGCCGAGTTACTGTTTGAAAAAAAGAAAGAAAACAACAAAGTTTCCGTTATACAAGAACCCCATTCTCTCAGAGAACAAATAACAGGCCAAATACATGCACTGAATTAAAAAACAACAATATTTCAATATATCTGCTGTCTAGCTGACATAGATTGATAATGATAGTGGAATATTAGGTGTTCTCTGTTAAATACAATGGTGAAAACACCAAAAACAATTATTAAGAAAAAAGCACATGTATATTACTGATAAAACAATGCTGATTACGTTTGTTTGTATTGTTAATAATGATAATGATACTATTACAGTATTATTACAATAGTACTACTACCATAGCTGGTATTGCTATAGAATGATATTAACCATCACCATTATAATGATTAATAATGGAACATATATTTAGCCTAAAGAGACAAATTATTAATAAAACAATCATGATTGCTCCTTTTCTTACTGTTAACAATAACAATAATAGTAATAATGACAATATTATTACAGTATTATTACTATGTCAGTACTAATATTGGCAATTGTTACATGATATTATTACTACTACTAATAATCATAATAGCAATAACAAATTACGAAAAATTATGAAAATTACGAATTATGAAAATAGCTAAAAATAGTAAATAGATTTGGGCTAAGGACACCAACCAATAATAAAACAATGATGATTGTTTTTGTTCTTGTTGATCACAATTAGAATAACAATATTATTACAATATTATTATAATATTATAATAATAATATGACAATGACCATAAAAACAGCTAATAATAGCACAAATATTGAAGCTAAGGACACTTATTGATACTAAAACATCAGTGACTGCTTTTGATCTCATTGTTAACATAATAATATTGTAATACATTGTTGACAATGTACTACAATATTATTATGTTGTTATTACTATAACATTGTAATTGCTATTGTTAGATAATGTAACAACAACAATAACGACAAAAGATGGTTCTTAAAGGGTTCTTTAGTAAAGGCAATGGTTCTGTTCAGAACCATGAATTCTGTTTAGAAACGTTTGATGCTTAAAAGGTTCTTTGCAAAGTGAAATTGCTCTTCAGATTGATGGAGAATGTGTTGTGTATGGTCCTGTGTAGAACCTTTTTGAAAATGATTCTATATAGCACCAAAAAGGGTTCTTGTATTGTTACCAGCTTGACGTTATAATAATAAAAGAACCCTTTTTGGTGCTATATAGAATGATTTTCAAAAAAGGTTCTATGTGGAACCATACACAACACATTTCCCATCAATCTAAAGAAACATTCCACCATGCAAAGAACCATTTAAGCATGAAATGAATCTATATAGAACTCATGGTTCCAAAGAGAACCACTGCCTTTTCTAAAGAACCCTTGAAAATCTATCTTAAGTGTGCACTGCTACTACTGCTAGTAGTTCTACCACTAATAATAATAATAATAATAATAATAATAATAATTGCACTATATTTGAAAATTCCAATCAGTCTGTAATATAATTTGTGTCTTTTTGAAGAATAAAGAAGTCTGTCTGGCCTAAACAGCCCCTCTGTTTATCTTCATGCGCAGAGCAGCTCTGAAATGTGGGCCTGTGTTAGTGTTTAGTCCGCTGGGGATCAGCGCGAGGGCTGAGCATTAGAGAGCGAGGCAGACTCGGGTTTCCCCTGCACGAGCTCAGCTCCATCCGCGCGCACAGCGGGTAGCCTGGAGCAGAGCAGACGCACCAAATGCGCGTGAAGCAGCAGGGCGAACATTCAGCTGCGCGCGACGGCGGTCCAAAGGCAACAAGTCTGAAGTGCCTTCAGCTGAAACAAGCGCTCAAAAACCTGTTAATGAACAGCGATCTCGCGCTAGCTCCGGACTGCAGCACCGCGTCTGCGCGACCTGCAGGAAAAGCACGCCCACATCTGTGACGCTGGAGCTGCCAAAACCCTCCAGAGCTGCTGCTTCTGGCGCTCCTCGAAGGTTCCACAGGGGGGCGCAGTATTGAAAGCAATCGATAACTGAGCTCCAGGGAATCATAGAGAGTCTCAGACGTCAGCGTTGTAGTGACCACAACATTCACCAGGTTCAGAGAGACACCCACGTTTTTAAGTCGAACAGATCAAAACAAAACATTTACAGTCTGTTTGTTTACCTTTGTAGATGTACTTCCATCCTTTCAGAGCTTGACAGGAAGTCAGTGAGTGAACAGGTGAGCTCTGTGCTCTGGAGAATGAACACTGCAGGTACCTGCCGTTACAGCAGCGCTGTCCGCGGTCCTGAACCTGGTCTGACACACCTGAGCACAGGTGGGTGATGAGAGTCTCCAACAACTGCTCAGCTGCTCCACACACAGGAGCTGAGTCAGGTGTTTTGGGCCGTCAGGTAACAGTGGGTATTTTAAGAAACTTGTTTATTCCATTTTCATCTGATGCTTATTAGAATATTCTTTCTAAACGAGCAAAAACAATAAATAAGTAGGCTATAAACAGGCTTACAGTGCAGCTGAATGACAGAATAGCTTCATAATTCCTTTCACTTTGCAATGATATTATATGACCATATAACACAGACTTGATGCCCAGAATTCATCTCACTCTGTAACATCAAATTATTCCCAATATGTCCAGATTAATACACATATTCTGCTGTTATTACACTAAGATGTCCCAGAAAACAAAGACTGGCGAATTATTATTATTATTATTATTATTATTATTATTATTATTAACAACAACCACGACTGTATTACTACTAATAAATAATAGCAAACAAAAAAAAACGTTTAATTTTTGGATGACACAATAATGCATGATGTAATATTGTTATATGAGTATTATAATAATAATGTTGTTTATTTATTTCAATTATTATTACTGTTATTATTATTAACAACAATGATTTTAATAGTACAACTAAAAAAGTTAATATATTTAGGATAGAGAATTGTCATTTGTGGATGACAAAAAAAAATGTAATATTGTTTTAAGTACTGTAATAATAATGTTGTTTATTTATTATTATTATTATTATTGTTCATACTATTAACAACAATGAATACAATAACAGCCTAAAATAAAAATAAAAAATATATATTTTTGATTATAATAATAATAATAACAACGACACCTATAATAATAGCCAAAGCAAATAAATTTGAATCATCATAAAACATTTTAAACTGTACTAATTGAAATAATTATAATGAATATAATAATCATCATTTAGTACTTATCATAATTTTTGTTTTTTATTACCAACATACTATTGCTATTATTATTATTATTATTATTATTATTGCTGCTGTTGTTATTATCAACAATAACTATACTTCAGCTATAAATATAACCCAAGCAAACATGTAATAATAATAATAATAATAATAATAATAATGATAATCACAGCGACGACCACCTCTGTCTTCACCATGGTCTAGAAGTTATTAAAAACGAGCAGGTCCCACCAGTTTATCTGTAAATTTTCCGTTATTCCCTATTTTTCCAGCAGCTCCGTCATGAAGGAGATGTAGACGATGGCCAGCCGCAGCGTTTCGATCCTCGAGAGCCGCTTCTCGTACGCGAAGGTGGGCACCTTCTTGCGCAGCTCGTCGAACGCCTCGTTCAGGCTGAACATCCTCTTGCGCTCCCTGATGTTGGCGGCCTGGCGCTGGACGGTGGTGATGACTCGCTTTCTCTTCGCTCGCCCACCGTGAGCGCCCCCATGATAGACGGGCGGCTCAGCAGAAGCGGAATCAGCACTAAATCCGTGGGCTCGAGCACCTGCGCTCCCGGAGGTCAGGTGTTGGTGTGGTCCGTGGTGGTCCGGGTGGTAGGAGCTCGGCGCATCGAGGCCTTCAGCGGGTCCAAAGACGCACCGCGGCGACACATCTGTGCAGTTGATCTCGTCCAGAAAGTTGAACATCGCTGCGTCAAAGAACGGCCTTTGCGTGTCCATGGCTCTTAGGTTAAGGTGTGGCAATCACAGGGGTCCACGCACCTGGACGAATCGCACCGAGGAGTTGCTGCATGTCTGATGTACGAACGGACTTCAGGCAGGGGTCATTTATAACATAGCTGTGGATTAGGGCCTAGTGAAGAAGTCATCCCGTCTAAGCCTAATGTGATCCGACGGCCAGTGATTCCGGGTCGCGTGGATGGTATTCGCTCTGGAAATCCCATTCAGAGCAACGAAGGCAGATCCTTTATGGCACAGGTCCAATGGGCCCAGTCCTGCTGTTTCAATAAAGTCTGTTAATTCACCTCCTCTTTCATGTCCTTAGCTGTGGACAAAATCCATTTTCTGTGTCCAGCCTAAGTCCAGCTAAGTGAGAGAGAGAGAGAGGTCCATCAGTCCTGCAGTGCTGGTTCTGCCATTTGATCTTAGGGGTGCTTGGCGGCCCTTAATGATGTCCCAAAGAGGAGAGCCTCTTGACAAAGGGTCACCCAGTCCTGTTTGCTCGGTTTCCCAGTGCACTGGAGGCTAAGTAATGAGACTTCTGTTACTTAAACGGCCAATGTTAGTGACCAAATATAACATTCCCTAACAGTGCCCATACTCCAGCCTCCTTTCTGTTGCAAATTAGTGCAAATAGTTGCCTGTTCCCATGGAAAAGGAGAAGCTTCCATTGGTGTCTCTGAGCAGAGTTAAAAAATCGAAGCTCTATCAACATTTTAAACCAGGTTCTGTTTTGAAAATGAACATACTCTCAAAAACAAAGGTGGCAGTGAGAGTTCTTTGGAGTGATGCCATGGGAAGAACCACTTTTGGTTCCCTGGAAAAACATTCGGTGGATGATTCATTTAACTGTTTTTTGTAAACGAGATGTGAGTGTGAAGACCCTTCTTAACGTTTAAAGAACCTCCACATAACCTAAAGATTCTATTCCAGGTTTTTCTGAAAGTGTCAAAAAGGGTTCTTTGGAGCGATGCCATAGGAGGAACCACTTTATGCTACCTAAAGAACTTTTCAATGGACCTTTATTTTTAAGACTACAAAACTAATACATTCATGCCCAAAAGTTTGTAAAGAAGGTTTATTCTCAAGCAATAATAGGGTATTAATAGGGAGTTTGTCCCTCTTTGTTGCAGTAACAGTTTTTACTCTCCAGGGAAGCCTTCACACTAGATGTTGGAACATTGTTGTGAGGATTTGATTGAGCATTGAGTGATGTCAGGAAGTTGGATGATCACTTCTGGATCACTCCAACTCATCCCAAAGATGGAGCTCCATCAATCCAGAGAACACAGGTCCACTGCTCCACAGCCCAATGCTCCATACCCCACTAGTTCACGCTTGGCATTGGGCATGGCAATCTTACGCTTGTGTGGCTTCTCTAGAATGTCCCATTCCATTGGTCAGTGCTTTTCCATAAAGGGTCCCATATCCTCTGCTCAAACCAAGTTATTCCCAAAGTATAGAAAGAATACTAAAACTGCATTTGATTAAACAGAACCCACAGGACCCTGGGCATCACAGTCCACCAAGGTGATCACAAAAGACCTTAAGTTTGTGATGGACTACCCAATATGTGGATCAGTACAGTACTATGCAGCAGTCAGAGACCACCCTTTGAGATATTTCTGAGGATATTAGATGTAAGATAATCCACCTGCATAAAGAAGGAGAAAGAAATGAAAATTAGTGAAAAAACAGAGTTTCCAAAACTGGAGTTCAAAAATGATTAAAAGCTTCAGAGAAAATGGGACTCTTAACAACCACCTGGAAGACCTGGTATACACCAAAACTGCCCCCATCAGATAAGCAGCACTTAAAGCTTTCGTCTTTGAGAGAGAGGAGAAAATCAAGCTGCTTCAGGTCTGAAAACATCCACATCCTTCCTTTCACTGTGAGAAGATGACTCAGCGCTATGGGTCTGAAAGGATGTGTAGCTGTCAAGAAGAACCTCACTGAGAAAAGGAGACAGAGACATCAAACAAAGAAGCGGAACAATGGACTGACCACCCGAGAGTCCAGACCTCAACATCACTGAATGTGTTTGGGATTATTTAGCTTGCAAGAAGCAGAAAATCTAACCAACTTCTAAGACTGAACTTTCGATGTGTGGAAAAATATTTCTGCAAATTTCTTAGAAAAACGGAAAGCAAGTCTCCTGAAAAGAATGGACGCTGTAATAAAGGTAAAGAGTGGACACACTGGATAGTGAAAAACGCTATATTATATTTGGTTGCTGTGTTTTTTCTATGTAATGTTTTCTGCTTTTTTCCTGCCTTTGAAAAAAAACTTGTACTTAATGGCCATTTTGATTGGAAGTTAAATAACTGAAGGGTGGTCTCTGACTTTTGCACAGTACTGTAAGTGGGTCATTTAGAATAAGGCTTTGTTCTTAAGCCAGCCAGTCTCTGTAATATGATAGGAGATGAATATGGATCTAAACCTGACCTGCACAGTTTCCTGTGTGTGTGTGTGTGTGTGTGTCTCCGTGAGTGAGTGTGCAGTGATTTAAGAGAACAGCTCATTCCTTCTTCTGTCTGTATTAAGCCTTTGTGAGGGTCCGTGCTGATAAGGGGAACTCTGTCTGGAGGATATTTATGAGTAATCAAAAAGGTGTGAGATGATGGCGCTTGTGCAGGATGTCAGATATGCAAGTGTCTCCAAATTAGGAAGGAGAGCTTTTCTAGCCTGAATTTTGGCTAGTGATATTGAAGGACACCTCCCCTCACACACACACACACACACACACACACACACACACACACACACACACACATATGCACACAGGCCAAATACCTGACCTAATGTGCTTATAATTTTAATATTATTTAATTGTAAGACCAAGTCAGCCAAACTGTGTCATACTACTGTATCAGATGACGATGCTAATGCTTTGCAGTGGCACTAATTCTGCCTTGACATCTACAGAAGGTAAGAGGTAAGAACTCTTTCTCTCTCTCTCTCTCTCTCTCTCTCTCTCCCTCTCTCCCTCTCTCTCTCTCTATCTCTCTCACACTCTCTCTGTCTCTGTCTCTTTGTCTGTGTGACTTTTCTGTTTTCCTGGCAGCAGGATAAACATGATGTGCACATTCCTGCCGTTGCCATGGAGACGCTGAGAAAGCACAGCTGGACACGGAGAATATGAGGTAATCCTGAGATCCTGAGCCCCGGGGGCTGCTGGGTAAATATTGATTTTAAATAAGAAATAAAATAAAGGGAGAGAAAGCAAAGAAACAATGACACTCCCTCTTCACTGCTCGCACATTGTAAGTGTTTTCAGAGTTTTCACTGCCACTTGGTAAACTGGAGATCCTGCTAAATATGGAGGTCAAATGATTTATACATACACACACACTCTCTCTCTCTCTCTCACACACACACACATACACACACACACACACACACACACACATATATATATATATATATATATATATACACACACAAACCTCAGCTGTATGCTCTTAAAAATAATAAACAATCATTAGCTTTATTAGGTCCACCTGCCTTTGTCTACACTCATTGTCCATTTTATCAGCCTTCACAGATGTGCAAGTTACCCACTAATACACCCCCATACCATGACAGACCCTGGTGCTTCAAACTTTACCCTGGTAACATGACAGAGACGGTTCTTCTGTCTATCCTCCTCAGGTCCTTCAACAGTGATGAAGTTCTGGCCACAGGATGCTGCATATTTTTGGTTGGTAGACTATTCTCAGTCCAACAGTGACACTGAAATATTTAAAACTCCAGCAACACTACAGTGTGATCCCTGTTTGCCAGTGGTGGGGGGATCCTGATCACTGATGAATAGAGTTAGGGGGGCTAACAAATTATGCAGAGAAATGAATGGATGATAAACTGTAATTAAACAAAGTGAACTTATGTGGTAAGACTATGGACAACGAATGGAGATAAAAAGTACCTAATAGTGTGGCCTGTGAGGCTTTGTGACTGATTAAAGGTTAAAGAACCTCCATATAATGTAAAACGGCCATACCAATTGATGAATGTGAATGATGGTTAGGCTCCAGGTGGTTCTATATAGAAGCTTTTTGAATAGGGTTCTATATAGCATCAAAAAGGGTTCTTCTATTGTAACAAGCTTGACATTGTAACAAGAGCAGAGCCCTTTTTGGTGCTATATAGAACCCTATTCAAAAAGGTTCTATGTAGAACCACATTCAACACATTCTCCAACAATCCGAAGAAAACTTTTTCGATGCAAAGAACCCTTTAATGATGCAAAGGGTTCTTTGAGTGTTCATGCTTTTATACAGAACCATTTTCTTTACTAAAGAACCCTTGAAGAACCATGTTTAAGAGTGTAGGCCATTGGCAAGTTAGCAGTGGAGGAGTCTTCGTCTACAACTAGCGCCAAATGATTCAGTCTATTCATAACTGCAGCAGTGTCATAACTCCTGACCCCGGATTTGAACAGTGAGTGAGAGGTGAGGAAGGCAGCTATTGAGGAATAATAAAGCGTGACGATAAAAAAAAACACAAGCTCAAATTAAACGAATGAAGTGAGACTTCCCTCTCCACAGCCTGCAGTATTTCTGAGACTTCGCTTAGATTCAGCACAAAGTTTTATGAATTTTTCTATGTTTTCTCTGCTGCTAACTTCAAAATCACAACTGGCGTTGAACCAACACTGCACAAATTATTATTTAACATTAGTGTCTTTCCCCATCGAGTGCAAATGACACACACTATAGGCTGTATCAACTACCTTGGGAGGATTATGCAACACTAGATGGAACAAACTGTAACTTGTACTACTGTCTGTTTAAAGTAAATGAAAAGAAACCTAGCCTTATGCATTTGGGGGTTTTTGTTGCTTTTTTCCTGTTGAACTGTCATATCCAGACCACGGTGTGAACCGAACTGTGACTTCCGTGTAATGTTACATCCCTACTTTGCTTCAATCAAAAGTACAAATCATTCCAAAATAAATAAAACTTGAAGTTGAGTGTTATTTGGATGGTCCACTGTAGATG